CAAAGTTCGGTGGTTACAGAGAGGTTGTAATGAACGAAGCTCACAGGACGAAATACTCCGTTCACCCAGGGTCGGATAAGATGTACTTGGATCTCAAACAGCTCTATTGGTGGCCAAACATGAAAGTAGAGATTGCTACCTTCGTGGGCAAGTGCCTGACTTGCGCCAAGGTGAAGGTCGAATATCAGAAGCCCTCAGGTCTACTTCAGCAGCCGGAAATACCTGAGTGGAAGTGGGAAGGGATAACCATGGATTTTATCACCAAGTTACCCAGATCTCCGAGTGGGCACGATGCCATCTGGGTAATTGTCGATCGGTTGACGAAGTCCGCCCACTTCCTGCCAATCAAAGAAAGCTTCAAGATGGAGAGACTCACACGTATCTACCTTCAAGAGATAGTTCGCCTTCATGGTGTACCTGCATCCATTATCTCCGATCGAGATAGCAGGTTTACATCGAGGTTCTGGCAGTCACTACAGAAAGCTCTTGGAACTAAATTGGATATGAGCACGGCTTATCATCCGCAGACTGATGGACAGAGTGAGAGAACAATTCAGACATTGGTAGACATGTTGAGAGCCTGCATCATCGATTTCGGCACATCATGGGACACTCAACTTCCTTTGGTTGAATTTTCCTACAACAACAGCTACCATACCAGCATCAAGGCTGCGCCGTTTGAAGCCCTCTATGGCCGTAAGTGCAGATCCCCTCTGTGCTGGGCTGAGGTGGGTGATACGCAGCTAGCCAGGGGTCAAGTTCCCGACAGTACTCTCACTGGTCCTGAGATCATCCGAGAGACAACTGAAAAGATTGTGCAAATCCAAGAATGACTGAAAGCCTCACGAGATAGACAAAAGAGCTACGCCGATAAGAGACGAAAACCCTTGGAGTTCCAGGTTGGTGACCGCGTCCTTCTGAAGGCCTCACCCTGGAAAGGCATGATACGATTTGGGAAGCGTAGAAAGCTAAACCCAAGGTACATTGGACCGTTTGAGATCCTTGCTAGGATCGGTCCCGTAGCATACAAAATCCAATTACCGCGAGAGCTCAGCAACAATCACCCTGTTTTCCACGTATCGAACCTAAAGAAGTGTCTGTCCGATGAGACACTTGTGATTCCTCTCGATGAGATTGAAATCAACGAGAACCTCAACTTCGTGGAAGAACCGGTCGAAATCATGGACAGAGAGATCAAACGAACGAAACAAAGTCGCATCCCGATTGTGAAGGTTTGCTGGAATGCCAGGCGGGGACCCGAATTCCCTTGGGAGCGCGAAGATCAGAACAAACAGAAATATCCGCATCTCTTTCCTAATCCATGATTTGTAATCTATGTTCGAATTTCGGGACGAAATTCCCTCTAACGGGGGGATGATGTGACAACCCGAAACTTCGACCGTTTCCGTTACGCGATTTCCGTTAATAAAAATTCGAATTCATTAACTTTTCCGTCAAACTTCTTGGTTTAAGAAAATAATCTAGTTATATATAATTAAATTATTTACGAGTCGGAACAAAAAATCGCGCGGGAACCTGAATATCTCGAAAAACCAAACATTTCCGGTCTAAGTGAGGTTACGACCATAAACTAGTTTACGACCGTAAACTCGTTTACGGCCGTAAACCCTTTTACGGCCAGTAAAGAGTGGACCCCCACAAAACCCCTATAAATACGAGACCTCCACCTTCATTTGAACATTTCTGGCCAAAAACTCTCTCCTTCTCTCTCTAAGAACCTTGACCGTAAACACCTAAAAACACCTTCAAATTTCGGGAAACATCGAGAAACACCGTTTGTAGTCACTTCGGAATTTCTGGAAACGCTTATCTCCTCGAAATCAGCACCATCGTTCTTGAGTTTACGGTCCACCTTCAAAGACCGTAAACCCTGTTCTTGAGTTTACGGTCCAAGCATTCAGAAACCATAAACCCTGTTCTTGAGTTTACGGTCCAAGCATTCAGAAAACCGTAAACCCTGTTCTTGAGTTTACGGCTGTAAACTCACCAAGCCTTCAGAAACCATAAACTCTTGTTCACGGCCGTAAACACATTTTAAGTGGTGCAATTGGCTGAAAACCCACTTTCATCGATTCGATCAAGTCCCGGTAACATTCCTCAACCGAATACAAGTATAACCTTAGGTGTACAGGGATAAATCCTACCATAGTATAACCAGAGTCTCCTGGAGGGAGAGCGTGAGATTTGTGAATAGATCTATTCGGGACTGACAATCCCACATCTGGACTGCTAGCTACAGTCAGGCGGGCACGCCTGAGATGTACAAATGTCATTTAACTCGACGCCTGAAGAACGTTGGAAAGGTCTCTAGTCATATCAAGTATGGTTATACGACTCACATTATGTATAAATCACCTTTAGTTTACAACCTGGCACTTTTCAACAATTTTATTTTTACTAAATAGAACTGATACACACTACGTATACTGGCTAAAGCCAGGGTTTTCAAACAGAACCGATTATGCAATGCTTTCACATACAAAATACTTATACTTAATGATTAGTTTTAGCTAGTCACATGAGGTAGTATTTTCGCATATCACTACAGTTTTCAGTAACGAACATTCATGGTTTTATACGAAATCGATAACGCTACCTTTTCACTAAAGAAAATATCGGATTTTCTTGGAAACATACAGATATTCATGGTTTATTACAGAACTGATAACACTACATTTTTACTAAGGAAAATATCGGATTTTCTTGAAACTATACAAATATTTTCCGAACTCATCAACGATTTTCACTACAAATCACCGCTTATGAACTCACCAGCTTTATGCTGATACTCTTTCAAACTGCTTGTATTCTCAGGAAATCAGTAGATAGGTATTTGCTGGATTTTCGAGGAACTGGAGCTATAAGAGTTTTATGTTTATACTATACAAAGCTATTGGATGTAATTCAAACAAAGTTTCAGACAAAGTTTCAACTGATGTAAACATTTTTATTTAAGTATTCACTATAATGGTTGTGTTGCTATGATTGTTGTTATTCATTGGTTGTGATGCTACACATGACGTCCTCCGCCTCGGAACGTTTCCGCCATCGGTTTCGGGGTGTGACAGAAAAAGAGAAGCATATTTTGGGATTTACCATATTGGAAAACAAACCTCATTAGACATAATTTTGATGTTATGCATATTGAGAAGAATTTTTTTGAGAATGTGTTTTACACTATAATGGATGTTAAGAAGAAGACAAAGGACAATGCAAATGCGAGAGATGATCTGAAACTCTATTGTAAGAAGAGAAAAGGAGTAGATCAAAATCAAAGAGCATATTATGCATTAGAGAAGAGGCAAAAGAAAGTCGTATGTGAATGGGTAGAGAGTTTGAGTTTCCCCGATGGTTACGTTTCAAATTTGGGGAGGTGTGTAGATTTGAGTGCATGTAGACTGTTTGGAATGAAAAGCCATGATTGCCATGTTTTTATGCAAAGATTGTTGCCGATTGCATTCCGCGAGATGTTGCCAAAAAATGTGTGGGAAGCAGTTACTGAGATAAGTCTTTTCTTCAAAAGCTTAACTTCAACAGTAATTACAACAGAAGACATGAAAAGGATTGAAGCTGAGATCCCGATAATTCTTTGTAAATTAGAGACCATCTTTGTCCCTGGTTTCTTTGACTCGATGGAGCATTTGCCGATACATTTACCGTACGAAGCAATGATAGTCGGTCCCGTGAAATATCGATGGATGTATCCATTTGAGAGGTTTGTTTTGTAAATCACATTATATTTCAAAATTGTAAGTTGTCACTCTTGGTTAACATATCAAATGTTATGCTTTAGATTTCTTCACCAGTTGAAAAAAGATGTGAAAAATAAAGCTAGAGTGGAAGGGTCGATTTGCAATGCATACTTAGTTCGTGAAGCATCAAACTTTTGCTCTCACTATTTTGAGCCTAGCGTTCATACACGTAGCAGAAAGGTGCCTCGAAATGATGATGGGGGAGTTGAAGATGATGATGACAACGAAAAATTAACTATATTTTCATATCCTGGCCGCCCATATGGGAAACTCAAGAGTAGAAGTCTGACTGATGAGGAATTCAATGCATCCCATTCTTACATATTGGTTAATGAAGAGAAAATGCAACCTTACCTTAGGTAGTATTATGAACAACATTTAAGTCGGTTTTTATTTCATCTTATAAGTTTAAACAATTTAAATGGTAATGTACAGGATGTATGAAGAGTCATTGAAAGACCTAAATCCAGATATAAGTGAAGATGATCTTGCTGCTGAAGTGGATGAAAACTTTGCTACATGGTTTCAAAACTATGTGAGTTTTTAAGTTGTTGTTTTCTTTTCTTTTGAGAAACTTCTAATGTATTTCATTCTTTGTCATATAGGCACGCCAAAATGAAATAAAGAACAAGTACATACATGATCTTTCTAGAAGACCATTGAGGACTGTGAAATTATATAATGTATACTTTGTAAATGGTTACAAGTTTCACACGGAATCACACGGTGCGAACAAATCAACAATGAATAGCGGAGTGTGTATAAGTAGCCCATTTGGTGATTACTATGGCAAGTTGTTGGAAATATTAGAAGTTGAATACCCCGGTTTTCCAATTAAAACAACAACATTGTTTAAATGTCATTGGTATGATCCAACACCTAATGTAGGATTCAAGGTTCACAACCAATATAACTTGGTTGATATAAACCAACGAAGAAAGTTCAACAAGTTTGAGCCATTTGTTTTAGCCATGCAAGCTACTCAAGTCTGTTTCATTCCTTACCCGAGCTTGAAACAAAACAATTCTGATTGGTTGGCCGTATGTAAAGTTAAACCTCGTGGATGGAGTGAGATACGAAAAAAAGACGTTGCTTTTCAAGAAGATGAAATTGAAGCAAATGAAATCATTAACACTATACCAGAAACAATCGAGTATGACATCTTAAGCAACTAGTTAGATAATGAAAATAATGATGAGGGTGAGTTTGAGTATAGTACACCAACCAATGAAGAAGAAGACAACGACGAAGAAGATAATCTTTTTGATTGTGATTAGCATCTTAAGGTAATTACTCATTTTACCCCTTTGAATTTATTGTACTTTTATCAATTTCGACATAATTGTTTTTGAAATTTACTGTTATAATTTTATTTCTTAACCAAAAGAGCAACATATTTGCATTGTTTTTACCAATAATAATGTTGCTATTATGGGTTACATATAATTATCGGAGGGACAATATCTGTAAAGTCACTATTATGCAGGGACCATTTATGTAACTTTTATAAGCACATGGGTCATTTCTGTAAATTCTCTAAAAGGCATGGACAAATTCTGTTTGTTTGTTTGTTTGTTTTTTTTTTTATTTTTTTTATTTTTTTATTTTATGAAACGCATGGTGGACCATATATGTTGTCTTCCGATTAACCAGGTACCATTTCTGCAATTATTGCACGACTTCCATAATGTGCCCCCAAATTGTACATGAAGGTTATTGTAGTCATTCAAGTGTTTATCCCAAAGTTATATTGTATTGGTAAATTGACCGAATGAATAATGATCATTTTCACCAGTGTTGTTGCTTGATTAATATTGTCCAACTATAAAAAGGTGGAACAAAAGACGTAAATGCCCTTGTTATCCATAATCTTTTGTCCCAAAATTCATATCTTTTGACCGAGACTCGTTTCAATGGGACAAAACTAGCAATTTTTTGTCCCAGGCAGAAAGGTGGGACAAAAGACCTAAATGCCCTTTTGATTCAACACAACATGAAAGTAGTGTTTGTATTAACTAAACTATAAATGTTTGCTATCATTAACTAAAAGTAGATATTTACAGGTTTAATCTTCATTTTAGATTTTATATACAATTCTTTTTTGGTGAAACAGTGACAGCAAGTGCAGCATTAGCCCATTTATACAAAGTTTTGATGGATCTATGCTCATTACAACCACCTGTAAATGTTTTAGAAGGAATGGAATCCGTCAAAGGAATGGAATCGGTCAAAGGAATTGGAATTTGAAGGAATTGAAAAACCATAGATATGGCACTTAAAACATCATTTTCCTCCCTTTGTCACATAAAAATTGCAATAAGTTAACCTTTTTATTTTGTCTTGATTGAATAGGAGTCTAGATACTTGATAAATATTAAAAGAAATAGGAGTCTAGATACTATTATATTAGCAAAATCGGGTTTGTTTTCATGCGTATTTTGACTCAAGCAAAAATTTGGCCAACTTTTGATTCACTCAATGAACTATTGATATTGATTTTTATGTTTTTATGCGAAAGACACATAATCAATGCGAAAGACACATAACCATCTTCATGAAATTTGGTATATATAGCTCATTGGGGAAAAGGTAGTATAAACAAAGGAATTCAGTGAAACTGGTAGAACAGATTCTTTTTCTTTTTCAAGTGGTGTAAGTTTAAAGTTTGTTTCTTGTGTTTTTCTTGCATTATAATTGGAAAAGAAAAAAGTAAAGGTAATTTGAATTTGGTGAAACTCAACTTGTCAAATGTAGGGGTGGGCGTAAGCGGGTACCCGGAACCGGAACCGGTTATATCGGTTCTTAACATTTTGGAACCGCTCCCGGGACCACCGGAACCGGTTCCGGGTACCCGCTTGTTATAATATTTCAAACTAAATTAAGATATAATAAACCAGTTACACTTATAAATCCCATTTTTTATTATAAAAAATTGTACTTAAAATCTTACAACTTTAATATAATTTTTTCATTGAGTGCCAATAGATACCACAAAAAAACATAAGCCTCTTTGACTCCTGCATCCTCCTTGATTTCCTTTATATAAGCATAGCATAAATTTAATTTTTAATACATATCTTTTTATCACTGTAACAATAATAAGATTAACCCATATACATTAACTTAAACAAATTTTGTTGACTTTGGGATTTAACTTTTGCTTTAGCGTTGGCAATTCTAAAATAAATTAACCAAATTTCCTGTCTTAAAATAAATAAAAATTTTGTATTTATTATGAAAACTGACAAGGATATCTATTATTGTGATAATTAACAAATTTTTTTCTTCTTATCTTGCATTGAGTTGGATGTGTTCCTTTATTTAATTAACATTAAACGAAAATAGTATTTATATGATCTCTATGCTTGAATATATAGCTGAAAATAAGGTGAAAGAATAGACGTGTTAGCTATTTTTTTCTGTTAATTTAAAGATTTTATTTGGTAAATTTGATTTCTTAGGAGAGGACCCATCAACCGGTCTTATTAAGGGTAAATGGGTCAAATAAGTCTTCTTCCACAAATCAGAGGTAATCGGATCATATCGATCGTATTCCTCATTCCTCAGATCAACCAGTCTTATTACGCCATTATCGATCGGAGCTTTGTTGTTCGCCGCCTGCTCCATCAACCGGTAGATTTTTCTCGATCGGCTTCATCCCTACCTCGATCCTCCCTAAATCAGAGGTAACATTCTTCTCTCTTCTTTTTTCTCTATTTTTCTCGATCTCTCCATTGAATCTTTCTTCTTCGCACATCGTCGCTATCTGGTTGTCGCCGTCGACTGCTGCTTCTTCCGGTCATCTTTCTCATTGACCCTGTGCAGGTACTATCCTTGATCCTCCCTAAATCCCTTCCTCGGTTCCTCCTTCTCCACTCTTCTGTGAACTTAGCCGTTCATGATTTTGTTTCAGAACTTCTAAATCTTCCGGTGAATTTTGTTTCAGAACTAAAATTATTGTTCATTAAGCATTACAGAACATCCCTGTATCACACTCTCATACACATTTAACACAGATACATCTCTACTTCTCTTTTAAAAGGATTTTGTCAACCAAATGGTTAAATGTCATATGACTTTATGTAGAAAATAAGCATACATTGTATGATGAGTTTATTGATCAAAACTAGAGACGAAAACTACATTCTGTTGTGGTCTACTGATGATAGAATTAAGATAACTTGGTGATGAAAACTAGATTATGCAGTAACTATGCTTTTGTGTGGTACATCACATTACAAACACCTCACTCATATGTATCAATCGCTGTCACATTTAATTTCTCTGGTGGAGTGATTATACAATAATCAGGTCATTCTTCCTCTGTTGCTCCCAACTGAAAAGTTCCAAGGACAAAACAGTCTTTTCAGCATTAAACAAATAAATGGTACATAAATCCTTTTTATTTTATTAACTTGTACCTTTCTTAGTTCTGTGCAAATGGCAATCATCCTTTCGGTCTCTTTTACCCTCCAGCTAGCCACTACCAAATATCACAAGAACTATCAACGTCAAGTTTGCTACTTTTCTTTAAAGAAGTAAGAGTAAATTACAGCTTTTGCCCCTGTGGTATGTCAAAAGTTGTGGTTTAGGTCCAGATGTGGTCCCTAATGTTTCTAATCATTAAACTGAGAAAACATTTGATTTTAGGTTAGATTTTATTGGACTTTTAGATCATGATTTTGTTCAAATTTGATTTTTTAGTTTTGGTTGAATTTGGTTACATGTCAGAGTTAAAAAAAGAGACTGTATGGTTTTTTACAATGAAACAGCCGGACTAAAACCATAACTTTCGACATAATGCATGGCCAAAGTTGTAATTTTACTCAAACTTATTTACAAGAATCATACCATCTCTAATGGTATTTGAATGCATTTTTCTTCTATTTCAGACACTCTTACCTTCACTTTCATTTTCTCAAGTCTCTTCTTTAGCCATTCAGTTCTTAAACATACTTATGTTGTGTTTCTCTTTTTACCATCGAGTGTTGTTTGGACAACTGGTATTTAAATCATCTTTGTTGAAAGGTGGCTAGAGTGAAATATGTGGATATTAAGAGGACATCAGGCAGTTACTTTCATCATATATTTACTGAGGCTATAGTATTGGAGAGGAGTTTAATACTTAAGTATGTAGTAAATAAGTCAACAACAAAGTAAAAAAGAAATGCCTCTATTTTTACTGTAAATCCAAAACAGAAGCAATTCAAAGTCCATATTGTGCATTGTTCTCTTCGTTTTCTTTTAAGCTCTTTGTGATGTACTATATCTTTATATTATTATATATATGATTGAGAAATTGTTATCAATAATTTAAAATTCAATATGTAATTTTGTAATTTGCAATTGTATTATTGTGATTTCTTTTTAAGGTGAACATGGGTTAGATAGTCTACAGTTAGCCTCTCCTTACCTTTTGACATTGTTGGGTTTTGGTTTGTGGAAATAACAACACACTTTGGTGAAAATGAAGGAAAAAAATTAAAGAGAATAAATTTGTAAATAGTTAGGACTTAATGGTAAGAGATGAGATTCTTGTCATGAAGAATAAACTGTAAGTTTTTTTTAGATAAAGAAAGAAAGAGAAGAGTACTTAAGCCTTTTGGTTTGTTTGGTTAATATGCAATCTTTTCTTGTAGGCAAATAGCATGTAATGTACCTTAACATCTATACTTTCTAAAATGCAATTTCTTTTTTTGTGTAGTTACAATTTAACTATCAAAATTCGGAAATGTCTCATAAGGTTTGATAAATTTTTCTGAAAATAGAGTAGATGTGTCTTGTTCCATAACGCTTTGTTAGATGGCTTGTTTGTTCTACATAAATATAATTTTGATAACCCTTTAAATGTATTAAACTACAAGTGGTCATGTTCACATCTTCCCAAATAATATTTTGTTAACTTTTTCTTTGTTTTTCTTTTGTTGAGATAAAGTTTATTTTTTTTTTCTTTGTTCTTCTTTGTTCCAGGTTCCAATCCACTCTACTTCACTCCAATCCAATCCAATCCAACACAATCCAGGTGATAACAAAACTATCATGTTTAAGCTTTGTGTTTTATCTTTTATACTTACTATGACATTGTATTTTAGAAAATAGTTCCATTTTGAGTTTGAAAGGGGCTAATCCTAAAAGTAAGTTGTTATTTTTTTGATTTTTAAAGGGCTAAGTCTAAATGCAAAAAATAGCAATCTACTTTCATTAAAGTATTTGCATTATACTTTTAGTTTTTGTATTTAGTTCACATTGCTACAATTAGGAAAAAATTTCAAAGTAAAAAGTAGGATGCTAAAATAAATAAGCAAGCAAAAGTACATTGTTATTTTAAAGTAAAAAGTAGTATGCTTAAATTTTCAGTAAAATATTTCAATAATATTTGTGAACCTAAAGATTTATAACTTCCTAAGTTTTTAAAATTTCAGGAAAGATGTCACAATTTTTATTAAGAGAAAGCAACATACAAATGTACGTTTCATAAACAAACGTACCGATGATGCAAAATCTGTTGGTAATATATCATCATCATCCCGTACCACATTATCATCTGTTGGTACTGTATCTGCCCCAACATTTGTTTCACATGTTAGTACTATGGGTGCCACATCATCAACACATGAATCATCCACCCAATCATCCTTACCTACATCATCTACCCAATTATCTGTATCTACATCTGTCCAATCATCTACACCTGCATCTACTACATCATCTATACCTAGATCCACAATAAATGGTAGTGAATAGGTTGAGGAAAATATTGGCATTCAACATCAAGGGTATTTACTTGGATCTACTGGACTGGATGGGCTTCTATATATTGGAGTGCGAGATAAGGAGTAAGTTAAAATACTTACATTTTATCAATATTGAACTTCATGATTTTTACCATGCTGTTAATTTTTTCGTTTGTAGGTTATTTCCTTCGGGCCCATGTTCTTCCATTATCTATGAATCCTTTGGTGAGAGAGCTGATTTAAACGGGTATAGCTGGGTAACTTTAAGTGACGAGACAAAACTCCTTTATTGGGACGAGTTTCATGTATGTATCTCGTTTATGCAATTATTAGGTACTCATTAACTAAAAAACTCATCTATATATTTTGTATTGTAGAAAAAGTGCCATTGGGATGAAGCAAAAACTCCGTTAGTCCAAGCTTGTTGGGAAAATAAGGCAAAGGAAAGATATAGACAATATATCTACAATATAAGCTCAAAATGGAAAAAGTCGACTCTAAAAAAAAACCTGTTAATATAACATCAGAAGTGTGGACATCCTGGACTGCAAGATGGAATACTGAAGAGTTCAAGAAGAAATCAGAACAAAACAAAAAAAAATAGGCGTAGAGGTGTAGCTGATGGACAAGCCCTTTCTACGCATACCGGTGGATCGGCTTCTCATTCCAAGATTGCTTCTGATTTAGTAAGTACTCATTTAATTTTATATTATAGCAATCTACTTTCATTTAGAAATACCATTATTTAGTTCTATTTTGATTTTTATAAGGACTAAGCCTAAATGCATAAAATAGCAATCTACTTTCTTTTAGTTTTATATTATAGCATTCTAGTTCCGTTTTTATTTTTAAAAGGACTAAGCATAAATACATGAAATAGCAATGTACTTTCATTTAGTTGTATGTTATAGTTTTTCTACTTCCATTTTGATTTTTAAGAGGACTAATCCTAAAAAGTATGTTATTTTATTTTTCATTTTTAAAGAGTGGAGCCTAAATGCAAAAAATAGCAATCTACTTTCATTTACTTTTGTATCATAGCAATCTAGTTCCAGTTTGATTTTTAAATGGGTTTAGCCTAAAAGTAAGTTGCTATTTTTTCATTTTTAAATATCTAAGCCTAAATGTAAAAATAGCAATCTACTTTAATATTGATTGTTTTTTTGTATATATGTAGAAGAAGCTTTGGGGACATGATCCGGCACACCATGAACTATTATTGTATACACACACTAAGAATCACGATGGAGTGACTTTTTTAGTTGACAAAGCTAAAAAAATTCATGTAAGTTTTATTTTTAATAATTTCATGTAAATTTTATTTTGATTTTTTTTGTATAAGTTTTATCTCAACACAATTATAAAATTATAGGATGATTTTATGGAACGATGTGATCGGTTGGAAGCAATAGGAGAGGAAATTGATGAGGAAAAACTATTTTATGATGTTGTTGGGGGACATGATCGAAAAAAGAGATTATATGGATTTGGCTCATATGGAAAGCGCATTCGTTCTAGTAAAGGATCTTCTGAAATGCATCGCGAACAATACGAGGATAATAATGCCGAGACAAAAGTCGAGATTGAGAATATGAAGAAGTTAGTTGAGACACAACGCGAACAATATGAGGATATTCAACAAAAATATGAGGATGTTCAACAAAAATATGAGGATGCTCAGAAAAAGAATGTGGAGTTTCAGCAGAAAAATGTGGATGTTCAAGCAAAGTTTGAACAACTTCTTGCACAAGCAATGAATGTCATTAACACATTGAGTGAACAGGTCAAAACTTTTATTAATCAACGATAGAATATTATGTATCGAATAATGTTTTACGTTAAATTTGTAGCGACTTTTGATTTTGAAATATATCTTTTGATGTATTGGATATTTCTTTTTAGTTTCTATAGAAATACTTTGTTATTTTTGGTTTTATATTAATTGTATTTTTGTAAATTGATATAATAAGTCAAATTAAATAACCGAATTTTATAGAAAAAATGGTATGGAACGATTGTTATGAAATTAACTACAAAAAAGTTGTTACGAAATTTGCTACGGAATGAATGGCTACGGAATTTGTTACGGAACGAATGGCTATGGAATTTGCTACGGAACAATTAGTTACGGAATTTGCTATGGACCAAATGGCTACGGAATTTGCTACGGAACAATTAGCTACGGAATTTGCTATGGACCAAATGGCTACGGAATTTGCTACGGAACAATTAGCTACGAAATTTGCTATGGACAAAATGGCTACGGAATTTGCTACGGAACAAAATAGATACGGAATTTGCTACAGAATTCATTGTTACGGAATTGTGATGGAAGTGTGTTGTAGTTGAAATGCTACGGATAAATGTCGTAGCAACGGCCATAGCAAAATTGCTACGGAACTATAATTTCGTAGTTAAACATTTTGCTACAAGAAATCTTACTATGGAATCTCATTGACAAATTCCGTAGCAACTTCCGTAGTTATTTAGGTTTAGCTACAGAATTACATCATTTTGCTACGAAATTTTTCCGTAGTTAAATCGAAATTTTCTTGTAGTATTTGTTTTTTCCCCTAAAAAATAGAGATAGTAACCAACGAATTCATGATATATTCGCTACTACAAAATACAGAATAGATTAATAGGACCCATTATATATAATCCCGGTTTTAAAGAAATCTGGGTTCTATTTAATATAAACCTAATCCTATTTGATATTTTCTTTATAAGACACGTTTTTATAAGTCAATAGGGCTCTATGCTGTCCTAAATTCATAAATTTTCATTTCCTTTGAATTTTTGATTTCATTGCCGCTCCATAATCGCTCAAAATTTCATTCCCGCTCTACCAAAATTTTCATGACTCTTTCGAGGATAAAGAAAAAGATACCTTGTAATTTGATATCTATTTTGCCACAAAGGTTTAGTTAGTATTCTTTTATTGCTGATGTATTGTTCATTTTAGTTTAAAACTTGATTTACCAAATTTAAATGTTACAGATTTTGGTTAGTCCTCTTAGTGTCCTCCAGTTAAAGATTTTGGTATTTAAATTGTTTATTTGTGTACCTGGAGGTTGATTTGAGACGATGATCTAGAGATATTATGATGTATCATTGTTGATGAACACTACAACATTAACCCCTATGGCGACAACACTTTCTGACCCTGTACCGACGACATGTCGTCGGCATAATTCTGTCGGCATAGGTCAAAAAGGGCGACGGCATAGGTGTCGTCGGCATAGGTTCCTCCTTCTCCGACGACATGTCGTCGGTACAGGTTTCGTCGATGATATTTTCGAAAAAAAAAGTTTTATTTAATTACCTGTGACGACGACATGTCGTCGGGATAGGTTAGCGACGACATGTCGTCGGGATAGGTACAAGTTATCACGACGACAATTTGTTTGTTTGTTTGTTTGTTTTTTTTTTTTTTTTTTTTTTTTTTTTTTTTTTTTTAATTTAGTTTTTACCATTTCCTTTTCATTGCCATTCCTATATCTTTAACAAATCCAAACACTTTGCAGCATAATCAATTGAGATACAATAACTAGCTACCATTGTTCAAATTGAAAACATCAAATTCAAGTTTAATATTACAATAAGTATTTAACATTGTTCAAAATAATACAAAACATCAACCATCATTATCTTCTTCTTGTTCTTCTTCTTCTTCTTCTTCCATCCTCTCGGGCTCGACAAATTGTTGAGAGGTACTTCCTTGTGTGTTAGAGTTGAATAGAAAGTTAGGAAATGGTGGTGGTTGGAAGTTAGGAATACATGCCGCCAATGATGCATTATATTGTTGCAAGTATACTTGCATTTGTTGTGCATCAAATTGGGATTGAGATTTGGATTGAGATTGAGAAGATTTGAAAGTGGAAGGCCGTTCATTTGAAATTAATCCGAAGTTGGCGGTTGGTCTCTTACCCACTCCGCGAGCATGCCTGCCTCTCGTCCCAAGGGCACGTTCTAGACATTCTTCCTCATTTACTTATCCGCCTTCCCCGACCTCTCTTTGCATTTTCTCATATTCGTCTTGAATTTTCTCCTAAAATAAAGAAAACAATAAAAATACGATAATTAAATCAAATAACTAAATTTAATAATAATAATGATAATAATAATAATAATAATAATAATAATAATAATAATAATAATAATAATAATATACCTTACACAAAAAACTATAATTAATAATAATAACATATTTAAAAAACACATTTATTTCGTTTATCACTTACCCAATCTTGTTGTGCTCGACTTGTACGACAACCCGAACCTTCTTTGTAGCACATTTGTCTCCAACCCTTGATATGTTGTGGCTTCATTCCCATTTCATCCTATAATAAGTCAAAAAAACAAGTGTATACACACACACACACACACATATATATATATATATATATATATATATATATATATATATATATATATATATATATATACACACACACACAAGTGTTAATAGCAATTTTAAATAATACTAATATATTTTGTTACCTCTAAATAACGTCGTTGAATGATATAATACAATAAATTTCTTATAATAATCATGGCTTTCTATTTTATCATAAAATAACTTGTATTTATTATTACTACACAGATATAGGACATGATACTTGGAAAATATATCCGAGAGCGGAAAGAGAAATCGTAACAGTAGTGTTAATGGTTCCATCTCGGTAGATACAGGTGGATCAATTACAACAGAACAACACCGCAAGAAGATGGTAAATGAATATTGTTTATAAATTTTAGTAATTTGTTTTTAGTTTAGCATAAATTACAACTGTGTTTTTTTGTAGAAGAATGGGAAGGGGGAAGACCCTTTGTGGGGAGACGTTTTCAAGCAGACTCACCTTGAAAAGAGTGCAAATATGAAGTTGGCATCTGGAGAGTTGATTGGGAGCCAACCTGAGCATTAGGTTAATGAGAAGTCTTGGACTGTATTTGTAAGTTATCTTTATCCTTTTTAGATTTAAGATTTGATGTATTTAATTATTTTTCATGTGTTTAGAGTAGTAACAATTTTAATGTTTTGGTAAATTGTAGGACAAATATGAGAAGGCAATGTGTGAGAAATATGGCCCCGACCCTAGTCAGCATCCGTTGGGAGATGTTGAAATATGGGAGCATTGTGTTGGCGGGAAAAAGAAGGGGCAAGTTTAAGGGGTAGGATCATCAGATCCGGGCTACGTCGTGTCAGGGACACCTTACGAGTAGACCTGACAATTTGATACGCGACACGATTAACACGATACGACTTTTCTGTATATGTGTTTTAGAAATTCGTGTTTCGTGTTTATTTGTGTCAGACATATATTTTAAATTCGTGTTTCGTGTCTTATACGTGTCAAACACGATTTTACCTGTTTAAACACGTATAAGACACGCTACAAATTCGTTTTGACACGTGACACGTATAAACACATATATACTTTAGGGTTAAATTTTATATTTATAAAATATTAGGGACCGATTGCGTAAAAGTTAATAATTAGTTTATAACCCTAAATTGAATCGTTTCCAAAATCACCGACATCTTACACCTCAAATTCTCAATTTCGTTTATTGACTTGTTCTGAGTTCTCCATCTCACGAGTCACGACTCACAATCATCAGACAATCGGACATCCATTCATCAACAAATCAACTATCGCCGGCCGAATCGTACGTCCCATATCATTGGTGCTTCTCTAATCTCCAGTCCTTCAGCCTCTCACCATCGCTCGCCACTCTCATGCCCCGTCTCTCTTTCTGAAGTGAAATCGAAGCTGCACAAAGCACAATCATACTCACTGATTCGTCACAGTCTCTCATTCGGTCACACAACAGTACAACGCAACCATAGCTTCTTCTGAGTTTATGGCTTCTAACACAAACATGTTATATTCTTTTCCTTTGTGATTTTCTGTTTATTTTTTTGTATCCTTTGATCACGGCCTCTCCTGTGGTTTTTTGTTTCATTTTTCTGCATTTGAGTTGGGTTATTTTCTTGTATCAATGTAGTGTAAATCATGGCACACAGTAGCTATGAAATAGAAAATCATGTATAAGCTTTAATCACGTAGTGTTAAGACGCTAGGAAATTGCACTGTCAAAAATGTTAAAAAAAAACAACATGCTGCCCTGCACGCTGGCTACGGTGGATTTTGAATATTGTGCAGCCAAACATGATTTCAAGTTGTGTTTTGTAGGCTTTTGTTTCTAATTGACTCAAACTGGAAGACAAAGCCCCTAAATCTGTTTGTAACTCTTTTGGCTAGATGCTACAACTTCCCTTAAATATGCATGTCAGTGGGTTAACTATGGATGGATATGCAAATCTTGTTTTTGGTTTGATTTGAAGTTGAATATTCGTATGTATATGCAATTTTTTAGGCATGGTTGGTTGTTGTGTCTTGGTTTTAATTCACAAATGTAGCTCATTTGTTTAACCTAATGAATGTCATGTTATTATTATTATTATTTGTCATATTTATTCAAGATTTTTAATTTTCTCATTTTACAAATAGGAGTTCAACTCGTTTGATTACGAGTATGTTGTTTCAACTAAAAAGTCCGAACTTGACCTATATTTGGAGGAGCCCCGGATGCCAAGAACAACAAAGATAAATATTTTGGAATATTGGAGAAGGCATCGGGTTCGATATCCCGATCTTACTACTATGGCACGAGATATATTGATTATTCTTGTTTCCATCGTAGCTTCCGAGTCTGCATTTAGTGTTGGAGGTAAAGTTCTTGATCAACATCGAAGCTCCCTCAAATCCGACGTTACGGAAGAAATTATTTGTACCAAATATTGGTTATTCGGAGAAGCTAATTATAATGTTGGTGATGTGGTGAACGAAGTTGTCATTTTGGATATCAACGAGGAGCCTAATCCGGTTAAAAGTTCAACCTCTTGTATGGTTAATACGGTTAATAGTTAGTAATTTAGTCGTTTACTTGTTTTAAAATATTTTGGGATTGTAATTTTGAGTTTGAATTTTGTACTTTGGATTAAGATTATTTGCATGTAATTGTAATTTTGAGTTTGAACTTTCTACAGAAGTCTAAGATTGTGAAATTTTTAAAAGCAAGTACATTTGTTGGAATATTCATCAAACTGAATTTGGTTGTGTTGCCCCTTATACTTGCACATTTAAGATTCCCAAAAGTATAAAGTTCGTTTTTTCAGCCCTTTTTTACTTGTAGATGTTACTAACATTTATCACAACATAAAGTTATCAAAACGAAAAGTATTTTTAATCATCAAATTGGTAGGTGATGGTTGGTTGCTTATCGATCCTGTAACATCAAGTCCTTTACGATGTCTTTGGGTGTAATCACTCTAATTGAGAAGCCCATGAATCCCTGTTACAAACAACACAAATGAAAAACAAGCTAGGTTAGACAATTCATCAAATGATCAAGCAGCTTATAGAATAATCAAAGAATCAAGAACAAAAACTTGCAAAACTAGATTGGGAAAATCAAGAACCAAAAAGAAACAAACCAACAAATATCTACCGATAAACATCAATTTTTCAAGCTACTAAATAAAAAAACATGATAAAAGATACAATTTGTGAAGTTAATGGATTTGTAAGATTATAATATGTTAATTCTTATGTTTGGAATAAGGGAGTGAATAATAAACAAAGATGGATGATCAGGTGCAAAAATGATTAAAGGGTAAAATGGTCTTTTTTGGTAAATGTCAAAATTGGCTGGTTTGTTTCATACTTGCATACCCGGATAGTTTTTTTGGATTAAAAAAACTCCAAAAGGAGAAGGAATACAAGTTAATTTATAGGGAAAAATATGGTCTTCATGTAATAAATACTAAAAGTAGAAACTTTTGATCTCGAATGGGATTTGATTCATAGCATGTAATTTGTGCTACTATCATTTTTAAAAGTATTGGCAAAAGAACAATATATCATCAGATATTCCTCTAAACTAAAAAAAAAGATGACTAAATAATACCAGAAGATGGCGGTTGTGCATCTGCTTTATGTAATACTTCAACACCTCATGTGTCTCTTATGCTGAGTTCAAGTTGCATAGATCAGAAGGCATGTACCCTAAAGTTATTCCATGAAATGTATTAACACTTTTAAATTATTCCATGTATTTTTTTAATTCAAAATAAATACTTTTAAGTCATGAAGACCTTGTGGAGCAACATATTCAGTTGGAGGAGGTTACTACACTGATGTTATGCCACGTCGAGATAAATCTACAACATTTGCAACCAAATCCACGTACCACACCACGTTTTTCTACAACTTTCCTAGTTAAAACCTTGAAACTATGAAAACAACTTATCAGATATCAATGAAAGAACAAAAAATTGCTAAGTTATATTTACTAACCACTATCTCGTATCCGGTGCATGTTGTAACGCCTGTAGATCCAGGCTAGTCAATTTAGAGACGATAAGCATCAAAAATGACTTTTTGATAGAAGATTATTTAGAATGAATAATCTTAACTAAGTTGTAGTGGTCGTGACAGGGATTGCAGATATATAAAGAATTCCGAAATCCGAGTTATAAAGAAGAAGTTATGACCTGTCGAAGTTTCGCGACAAAACCGGCACGACACAGCGCGACGTAAATAGTGAATTTACGATAGAGCGATATTTGGCCTTAGCGATCTAAAATAAAGTCGTAGAATACGTTAAACCGAGAGCGTGCATAAAAAGAACATCTAAATCTGACTTCGTATGAGGAAGTTATGATTTTTCGAAGTTTTTGAGTTAGCGGTATGCATCCCAAAGTTCGAATATGAGATCGAGTGGTTTCTAGCCGAAACAATCTAAATGAGAATCGAAGATCTCGTCGATAGTAGTCCAACGGTAAAAAGACAGACGAAAACGGACGTCAGATGAAGGAGTTATGAATTCCTAACAGAGTTTTCTTGTCCCGGCCTACTAAAAATAATATAATAAAATTTAAAGTCAAAATTAGCCGTCGGAGTCTAAACGAGAGTTGTAGAGCATAATCTCACCTACGTGTGCATATAAAGAACGTCGAAAACGGAGTGCGAAAGATATGAATTTCTGAAGTTCGGGCACGAACCCCGACACTGTGTCAGAGTTCACGACGTGAACATAATGTTCACGACGTGAACTCAGTATTAATGATTCTGGAGCCTGACAGACGCAAGTTGCGATGACTCACCTTATGACTACTGAACTCACGATGTGAATTTTGAGATTCACGACGTGAATCCAACAAAATGGCCCTATAAATAGAAACCGAAGGGCAGCCGACCATAGCTGCTAATTCAGTCACTCTCTCACTCCCGATACCCTCTCTAGCCCTCTTGAAGTACCCCCGAAGCCCCGATATCATCCCGACACCCGAAGCAAGTCCCGACGCTCCGAAGATCCCGAGAAGAAAAGAGTTTCAAACCGAAGCTCTACCCGCGAGAAGCCCGGTGTGTGAAGATATCCCGGATTCATCGAAGAATTACTACTTGAAGAGCCGTAGTGCTGTCCGACAATCGTCTTAACAAGTGAGTGTGTAGTTACTTTCTTCTACCGCATAGATATGAAGTATTTGCTATGAAATACGTGTTATGTGTTTATATGTTGTTTGTTTACTTGAGATGGTTGTTGAATGAATGTTTTATATAGGTTTTTAAATGATTTAAACTATATATGTAATTTATATCTACAAATATGTTGGGTAGAACATGGGTAGATGAAATAGTTGATGTGTGATGAAAGATGAGTTTGAGGATGAGACGAAAGATGATATAGATCATGAGATGAGGGTGACAGGTGAAAAAAATGAGTGAAACCTTTACCCAAACGATGGCCCCCGTCATTCAGCAGAGTAGGGATGACAACCACGGACTATTCTAGACAGTCCTGTGGAACACTAGCTGGCTCGCAACTTGTAGATGTTGTGGACTTGATGTTCACCGGTGTACTCTAAAAACCCATTGATATGTATTGCTAGACGAGTCTCGGAACCAATACTGTCAATAAACGAGATAAACCCCGACGACTATGGAGTTAGCGCTTGGTAACTACGGATATAGTGTCTGTTGAGAAACCCTGGCAACGATGGATTTCATGCCGATTCCTTAGGATAATCCTTAGGAATAAATGAACGAGGAATAGTTGATTCTTAGGGTAATCTTTAAGAAATAAAAAGGAGATAATGGGGTGGGTAATTGGGTTGATTGTGTGATGATTAAATATAATATAATATTTTATTGTGGGTTGAAAACCCTATATGCTCACCAGGCTCCCAAGCCTGACCCACTCAGTTGTTCTTTGTATTACAGGTAGTGACACCAGAGCATAAGTTGGATGACTTATCAAGATATTTTGGATTATAGATCAGTAGTTGTAAATAACTGTTGTAAGGTCTATTATGTACTGTTTATGCTTTTGGTATGTATCGGAACATGACATCTCGAGATTTTGTTATTTAATGAAAATACGTTTCTTTTAAGAAATGTTTTGATAAATTTTTATCATATTTTGTTTTGGGAACAAATTCCGCAACTCTTTTAATCAAATGATTACTCTGATTTTATAAAACAAAGCATAAACAAATCGGTCTTTTCTGACCGTGAAAATGGGGATGTCACACATGTTCCATGCTCTCTGAATTTTGGAAAAAAGAAAAAGTCAAAGTACACATAATGGCCAAAATAGATAGCAAAAGAAGAGATTAAACAAACCTACTTTATTTCAACTAGAGTCTTCATCTACCAGTATATGGTTTTTTGTTGCAGAAACGAATCTTATGTACAAGAAAATGAATGGAATTTCACATAGTATGCATTTCATTCAGGCTCAAATAGATCCAAGCACTCAAAACACAAACAAATTCAACTTTGGTGGATTGAATTTTGTTCGGCATTTAATTGAACACATGGTATGCATTTCAGCAAACAATACATTTAGATGATTAAACATAAAATAAATCGAGGTGCATCATTCTGTGCATCAGGGAGTAAAAAACAATGGTTCTACATACATGCTAGTGAAGATAACTTAATGGAGAAAAACCACAGCAGGGAAAAAACACTCAAAGAAGAAAAAACAATTGAATGTGAGACTTATACGTGCAGATTGAAAACGATTGAAGGTTATGAGTTGACGACCTAAGATTAATTGAAAGGAGTAGGTGGCGACGAACCCCACTGAAGGTGAGATCATACCTAAAGTTTGAACACTCAAGGTGTAATTAGGTATCCCCGATATCGTTTGAGGTGAGGCAAAACTCTGATTCAATTTCGTTGGCGACAAAGAGGAACTTTAAATGGCAAGACTCCAATTTATGCTTGTAGGAAAATGAATTTTCATGGTGTTAGAAATTTTCCGATGGAAGCCTAGAAGAATCAGTTCATCGGGTTATATCATATATGCCTAATTTTTCGCAAACTCTAACATTACACATTTTGGAATAATATAAAACTAATTATTTCTTTTGTGACATATGAAAAGTGTCATTAAAACATAAATAAGCGGCACAAAAATTAAATGCCACTAAAAGTGTGCCAATGAATAACATTTTGTTTGTAGTGGGGGACGCGCCCCCTTGCGGGGTTCCAAGGGGCAGTGCCCCTTGGCGGCTAAAGATTGAGTAGATATACTAGTAATCCTAGTACTCAACATTGGCATGCTATTCAAAAAGTATTCAAGTATCTTAAAGAAACTATAGATTACCGTTTAGATAAATAAAAAACTCTAATGTAATAGTTGTGGCTGAAAACATAAGTAAAAACTCGTAAAATCTCAACTGCACCAACTACACAAAAGTCAAAAACCTTACCTTAGTTGTATAGCAAAGTTAAACACTCTAAGTTGATATTAAAGTCAAAATCTCAGAAGATGGGAAAAGAATTGATTTATCTCATTTTTTTAATTATTTGTATTCACCAACCAAGAGCAATGGAATCAATTTCATTTCTCTCCTTCC